CCAGGCTAGCAATAACTAGGGCCAGGGCTTTCTCGGTGGTAGCTCCACTCTGGTGAAATGAGCTCCCGGAGGAGATCAGGGCCCTGCGGGACCTGTTACAGTTCCGCCTGTAAAACGGAGCTCTTCCGCCAGGCTTTTGGAGCCGCCGCCACCACTGCCACCACCGACATCTGACAGTTCTTGGAGAGCGAGCCCAACCCATAAGTATACCCTGACCAATGCTCCCTCTAAGCTGTGGAGTCTTGTGAGCAAAACTTCTACTTTGTGAGCTGCCATCATTAAAGTTGTGAGCAGGTGATTTGGCTACTGCATAAATTAGTTTGCTCTGGAGCCACCCATCCTGTGTGAAGACAGAAATAGGTGAGCCGGAGGCTAAAAAACTGTGAGCTAGCTCACACTAACTCAGCTTAGAGGGAACACTGGTCGTCAAGTATTCTTATTATTTGCAGGAATTAAAAGAAGACGGCACCCTGCAGAAGCATGGGCACTCGGCACATGTTCAAAGGCACTATACCCTTACACTGTGTGGTGTAAAAAGCTGTGTCTGGTGACTCCGGTCAGAAGACAAAGGATGAACTGCTCGTGATCAGAAGCATTTTGGTCTAGAATCCATTTGAACGTTTTGAAAAGAATCCAACACTTTTGCCCCGCTGAAAGTCAGGGCGCTCTTCAGAAGCTCAGAGGCACTGTGGATGTGAGAATTTCTGAGAACCGACAGCCTGGCTTGAGCTGGTTCAACACTCAAATGGCTGCCACCACCCGGCTACAAGGTTTCAGGGGACACAGGCACAGAAGCGGATGAAGGCTTTTTGCCTTCTCCTGTCCCCTCCTGCCATGCCAGGTTAAGTGGGTTGCAAAGGACCGTCAGCCGCACCTGGGGCAGGCATCTCCCCCTGCAGAAAGTTGAGTACACTCCACTTGAAGGTAGAGTTCACATATCCTGCTGGGAGAGATGTGTGAGGATTGTGGGACGCATCCAGCTTTGGGAGTTATTTCGAACAGAGAGCCATCCTCTGTGCATTTGCTTTGGCATAGCTGGCTGGAGGGAATCCCTTTCTCTAGCTACGAAGAATTCACGAGAATTCAGATTCACTCGGGGGGGGGGAGCATTCAGTAAAAATAGCACCTATGCGGCACGGACCTGAAGGAGTTTACAATCCTTCAAAGCTTCCTAACGTGCCGTGGCTTTAAGCTTCGGTTCGTCCAACAGAAACTCGTTTTCCTTTGCAGACTGGAGGAAGCAGAGGTGGAGACGATGGTCCAAGTGTCTTCCCCACCCCACTTCTTCAAAACCAGGGCAGAGTTTTCAAACCAAGATGTCCCCTCCCTGTGGCGGAGCAGAAATCCAAGTCAAAGGACACGAACAAGAAACAGAGAGAGGAGGCTGTCCAATCTAGAGCATCCGTGTGTGTTTGCAGGTGAGATTATGTTCCAAATCCGTATCCAAGCAAATCTGCAGGGGAAGTTTTCAGGAGGGGGTTTCTTTGGTGCAAAAGCTGGTATGTTATTCCTCTGACTCTTCTTTTGGAAGATGTGTGTCTACGGATCAAGAAAGGACACAGCAATGTAACGAGTCCCTTTGGTGGTGGGGAGGCCTTCGTGGTAATGGGTCAGGCGACCCGGGTGCATGAGGGTCCACCCTTTCCGGGGCGCTCTGATGGAACAGTTGTACCGCAGGAAGTGGCAGCCTCCGCCCTGCAGAGTGAAGAAAGCAAGAACCAGCCTTGAGTATGCTGACCTGGCTTTGAGGGAGAAAACGGAGAGGAAAGGGTTCAAAGTTTGTCCCTCTGTGTGTGGGTAAATCAAGCCTGAACTCTCCCTAGAAACTAAAATGACCAAACTGAGGCTATTGTACTTTGGTCACAATGCTACCTCTAAGCTGTGGAGTCTTGTGAGCAAAAATTCTACTTTGTGAGCTACTAGCATTAAAGTCGTGAGTGAGCCATTGGGCTACTGCATAAATTAGCTTGCTCTGGAGCCCCATCCTGCCTGAGCTAAGACAAAAATGTGTGAGCTGGAGGCCAAAAACTGTGAGCCAGCTCACACTCACTCAGCTTTGAGGGAACACCGGTCACAATGTGAGAAGACAAGGCTCATAGGAAAAGACAATAATGCTAGGAAAAGTCGAAGGCAGCAGGAAAAGAAGAAGACCCAACGTGAGATGGATGGACCCAATCAAGGAAGCCACGGCCTGCAGTTTGCAAGACCTGAGCCAGGCTATTAAAGGACAGGACGTTTTGGACACCATTAACTCATAGGTCCAAGTGGGGTCGCCGTGTTGGTCTGAAGCCACTGAACAAAGTCTGAGTCCAGCAGCACCTTTAAGACCAACAAAGTTTAATTCTGGGTAGAAGCTTTTGTGGGCACGCACCCTTCTTCAGATTCTTCGGATATCTGAAGAAGTGTGCATGCACATGAAAGCTTATGCCCAGAATAAAACTTTGTTGGTCTTAAAGGTGCCACTGGACTCAGACTTTGTTCTATTAATTCATAGGGCCGCTGTCAGTCAGAAGTCACTCGACGGCATCGAACACACACACACAGATGTCAAAAACAACCCCCTGCCTATCTGTTTTCCCGGAAATTCATTGGGGAGGTTGCCAAAATTTTGAACTTCTGGGTCTTCAACCACAGTCAGCAGCAATGCTCCCTCTAAGCTGCGGAGTCTTGTGAGCAAGAATCCCACTTTGTGAGCTACTCCTGGCATTAAAGTTGTGAGCCAGCGATTTGGCTCCTGCATCAATTAGTCTGCTCCAGAGCTCCATCCTTCCTGAGCTAAGACAAAAAGGTGTGAGCCAGAGGCTAAAAAACTGCAAGCCAGCTCACACTAACTGAGCTTAGAGGGAACACTGGAGCCTGCCTTCCTGAGCTAAGACAAAAAGGTGTGAGCCAGAGGCTAAAAAAACTGTGAGTCGGCTCACACTAACTCAGTTTAGAGGGAACACTGGAGCCCTCCTTTCTGAGCTGAGACAAAAAGGTGTGAGCCGGAGGCTAAAAAACTGCGAGCTGGCTCACGGTAACTCAGCTTAGATGGAACACTGGTCAGCAAGTGCCTTTTCCTGAAGGGTCAATCGGAAGCTGGCAAGAGGGGTACAGGGCCTACACCTCCCCCCAAACCTACACCCAGGCTGCCTCTTCTCTCCCAGCCACGGAGCTGCCCATCTCGTCAGAAGGTTCCCCCGGCAGAAAGATCCTTGCAGGGACTTACTTCGTTACACGGTTCAGGGCAATGTTGATGGTGAAAGTGGATGCGTCATGGTGCGGCATCAGCGATGGCTGCTCGTCAGGTTTATACCGAACCACAAAGGCCAGCTCGAACTGGGTCTGCGGGGGAAGAGAGAACACCATGAATCTTACCTTACCCTACATGGCACCGTGACACTTTTTTAAAAAAAAATTTTTATTGATAACAGTAGCAAATCCATAACAATGATAACTGAATACACAAGTTGAATTTTGCAATAGTACATAGATGGTAACCAAATCCAAACATAGTAAGTAACTATTTTAACAATCGATTTTTCCAAAAAGAAAGAAAGAGGAAAAAAAATTTTTTTTTAGGAAAACTAGCATAAACAGCTGTCTTAGTTAATAGCTCAGTCATTATTGTGCTTTAGAAATTTTTGACTTATTGTATCGCGGTAAACCATATTCATGTAATTGTGTCTTCGAATATTGAGAAGTGAGGAGGAAGATAAAAATTGGAGAAGAGAAGAAGAGGTTCGAGTTTCTGACAATTGGGGAGAAAGCAGAACGAAATGAGGCATAAAAAGTAGAAGGAAACAACAAAAAAGAATGCAACGAAACTCTAAGCCCTAGATCCACTTCTGATACTGGGACCACTTGGGGGATACAAACTGCTGCTCGAACTGGGTCTGCGGGGGAAGAGAGAACACCATGAATCTTACCTTACCCTACGTGGCACCGCGACGCTTGAGAGGCAGCCAGGAGGACAGCGGAGGGAAAGCGAAGCATTACCAAGCCTTTTGGAAGATAATAGAGGAGCTTGGATTTTTTTTTAAATGGTTTCTTTAAATCTGGGACAAATGCTCCCTCTTAAGTTGTGGAGTCTTGTGAGCAAAAATTGTACTTTGTGAGCTCCTGGCATTCAAGTTGTGAGCGAGCGATTTGGCTGGTGCATAAGTCAGTTTGCTCTGGAGCCCTCCTTCCTGAGCGAAGGCAAAAACGTGTGAGCCGGAGGCTAAAAAATTGTGAGCTAGCTGGACAATGGAGGGCGTTTTATGACTGGTTAAAACACAAGTATAGAGAAACTAAGATTAAATGAAGAATAGCAAGAAAGATTATAATAGCTGAGAAGCTTTTATGAGAAGATTTGCATGCAGAATGTTAAACTGGACTTATATATATACACACGCACACTTTCTTTTCCCTTTCTATATATAAACTAATAAAATACTTTAAAAAAACTGTGAGCTAGCTCACACTATCTCAGCTTAGAGGTAACACTGTCTGGGACCTCCTGATTTCTAAGCTTAAGATTACAAACGATCCATTTTATACAACTAACTTCAGAATTCATTCTGAATCCACAGAAACTTCTACATAGCAAATACCTCAGAGACCACTGAAATACAGCTCCATTCTGATGTATTTAAGTAGCCTGAAATACTTAAAGTAGCATTTAGGTAAAGGTAAAGGTTCCCTTGCTCGAAAGCCAGTCAAGCCAGTGCTCATCTCCGTTTCAAAGCCGAAGAGCCAGCACTGTCCGCAGACGTTTCCGTGGTCATGTGGCCGGCATGACTAAACACCGAGGTGCACGGAACGCTGTTACCTTCCCACCGAAGTGGTACCTATTTATCTACTTGCAATTTCTTGCTTTTGAACTGCTAGGTTGGCAGGAGCTGGAACTAGAGACGGGAGCTCACTCCGTCATGCGGCAACTCAGGTCTCGAACTGCTGAACTACCGACCTTCCACAGCCTGCAGTTCAGCGTCTTAACCACTTGAGCCACCGCAGCTCCTAGTAGCATTTAAGCAGCCTTAAATATTTAAATACTTCAATTAATCATTCAGGTGTGATGCTATCACATCCTTGCCTACTGATTTAATTATGCCATCTACAGAACACCGCTTGTTACTGCACTGTTATCGCTTGCTCTCCTTTGATTGTCGAAATACAGCTCCGTTCATGTCTTCCAAATACCATGATAATTTTGCTGTTGTTGTTATTTATAAGTATTGCTAATAAAGTAAGTGGTTTTGAAACGGGCCTTACTTTGGTGTAGTACCCGGGGTACAGCTTCTCTGTGATGGGCGCGATGTAGTCCAGGAGGAACTTGTACCATTCGCGCTCAAAGTTGATCTGATTCATATGGATGTCGATGGTTGGCACGTTCTCGTACCCTCCCAGGATCCTGTTGTCCTGCAACGTTATTGCACAAAAGGTGACCATAGTGAGGGCGTTACTGTCTAACTCTGGTGATCTCCAGAGAAGAGCTCTGGCATAACTGCTCCTTCCTCTGCTGCTCAAAGAAGTTATTTATTACCAATAAAATGGTTGTGCTGTCCTTTAGCTTTCGTCAAACGTGAGACTTCTCTGGGATGACAACATTTCCTCACCCCACCGTTGTAAACAGTCACCTGGGGTGAGTCAAAGTCATCCCCAGGTGACCAGGCAGAGCATGTTGTATAAAGGGGGGGGGATCACCTGCCACCCTCCTTCAGGACTCTGATGTGCCAGAAATGAATGCGTTAAAACCTGGGCCTGGTGGAGTAGGAGAAACATGTCAGTCTGCTGGTATCCTTTGCCGTCTTATCTGCCAGGCTTCCTTACCGTGTTACCTCCCTTGGACCACTGGCCAAAGTTCTCCATCTCTTCTACCAGTTCGTCGCAAGCGGTGTCGGTGAACAGAGGAAACCAATACACATCTGGGCAGGGCTAGTGAGACGGAGAAACTGTGAAAGCTCAGCCAGGAAAGAGAGGAAAGCCAAGGGAATAAAACAAGGGCAATGCCTGCCATACACGGAGAGGCCCTCCGGACCTGGCCTCCCCATTGCTATATATCCTGCTATTTATTTATTTAATTCGATTTATGTCCCACTCTCCCCGCCGAGGCAGGCTCAGGGCAGCTTACATTAAAAGTTAAAATATTAAAACATTGATGCATTGACACAATGCAACTTCACAAACTTCATAACATAACAATCAGAATAGACCCCATCTAAAACGTCTTTTAAATGAAGTTGGGGCAACCTACCGTTTCTACCCCCTTGCCTTTTAAGGCTGCGGTGTAGTTTTCATGGATGTATTTTTCCTTCCAGTCCTGCGATAAGAGAAGACGACAAGGTAAACCTGTCTGTTCTACTGGGGGGACACAAAACACCAGTTCTGATACAACTTCCCAGGCATCCAGTTCATTTCTGGGTGGCGATCCGAATGGCTGTTTTTGAACTCTTAAAGCCCTAAGTGGTCCAGGGTACCCGGAGGATCAACCTCTCCAAAGGAGCCCACCGGAACGGTGTGGAGAGGCCTCGCTGCATGTCCCTCCGTTGACCGAAGCAGCAGGAGTTACGGACACCACTGGACCGGCATCCCTCTTTGCGTCTGATTGGTTATGCCGCGCCCTCACCTGGACAGCCCAGGCTAGCCCAGCCTCTGCAGATCCTGGAAACTCAGCAGGTTTGGTCCGGGTCAATGTTCCCTCTAAGCCGAGATGGATCACAGTTCTTTAGCCTCCGGCTCACACCTTTTTGTCTCGGCCCAGGAAGGACGGGGCTCCAGAGCCAACTGATTCATGTAGCGGCCCAATCGCTCGCTCACCGCTTTAATGCCAGGAGCTCACAAGGTGGAATTTTTGCTCACAAGACTCCACAGCTGAGAGGGAGCCTTGGTCCTGGTGAGTCCTTGGAAGGGAGTCCACCGAGGAAGCCCAGGGCAGCTACCCAGAGGCAGCAGAGGCAAAACCACCTCTGAACGTCTCTTGCCTTGAAAGCCCCAGGAGGGGTCGCCGCAAGTCATCTATAACCTGACGGCACTTCCCACCCCTGTCATGGTGGTCCCCCTCTCGGCTTCTTTCCCAGCAAGGCCTTTGAGTTAGCAGAATTTCTGGCCCTCCCACAGAACACAGACGCACCGCGGGTGCCGATGTTGCCCCCTCGTTTCCCTCACCTCTGGGTTGCTAAAGATCTGCCAGAGATCGTTGTGGAGGTGAGTCGTCTGGTAATTCTCCAAGGAGAGGATGTGCCCAAAGTGCTGCTGATTCGTCACAAACAGGAAGATGCCCTGCAGGACGCAAAGGGAAAGAAACTAGCCACAGCGAGCCAGCGCCCTCAGCAGAGAGGGCTGCCGGTAGGGGAGCCCCTGAGGGTGGATAAAAGGAGCTATGTAGGGCCCCTTGGCTGAAGAAGAAGAAGAGAGAAGAGATTGGATCTATACTCCATGGCCACTACCCGAAGGAGTCTCAGAGGGGCTTACAAACCCCTTTCCCTTCCCCTCCCCACCACAGACACCCTGTGAAAGGGCTCTTGACAGAAACGGCTCTTTCAAGGACAGCTCTGATAGAACGATGGCTTGCCCAAGGTCATCCAGCTGCTGCAAGTGGAGGAGTGGGGGAATCAAACCCGGTTCTCCCAGATTAGAGTCCGCGCACTTAACCACAACACCAAACTGGCTCTCCTCCTGAAGAGGACGGCTACCCAAGGAACACACAGAGTGCATCAGTTGCCTTTTCCGGCTGCCTCCCTCCTCTCCTCCTCCTATAGGGCTGCCACCTCCAGGCTGGGAGATTCCTGGAGACTTTGGGGGTGGAGCCCGAGAAGGGCGGGGTTTGGGGAGGGGAGGGACCTCAGCAAGGCACGATGCCCTAGAGTCCGCCCTCCAAAGCGGCCGTTTTCTCCAAGTGTCTTGATCTCTGTTGCCTGGAGGTCAGTTGTCATCCCGGGAGAGCTCCAGCCACCACCTGGAGGTTGGCAATCCTATCCTCCGACTAGAAAGGCCCCGTGCTCCCACCGTGCTAACCTGCTCCCGGACGTTGTGGCAGAAAGCCATGTCTGCATCTAACTTCCCGATGTGGAAAAGGTCGGCCTGAGCGAGCTGCGATCTGAGGACACTGCTTTTGATCAGGTAGATGCTGGAGATGTACGGGACATTCCAGAGACCGCTAAAAAGCAAGAAAAGGGAAACTGGGAGATGATGATTAGAAAAAGCACCTTGACTATGTCGTGCTTTTCTGTTAAAGCATACAATGGGGTAAAAAGGTAAAGGTTTCCCTTGCTCGAAATCCAGTCGAATCCGACTCTAGGGTTGCGGTGCTCATCTCCGTTTCAAAGCCGAAGAGCCAGCGCTGTATGAAGACGTTTCCGTGGTCATGTGGCCGGCATGACTAAACACCAAGGTGCACGGAACGCTGTTACCTTCCCACCGAAGTGGTACCTATTTATCTACTTGCAATTCCTTGCTTTCGAACTGCTAGGTTGGCAGGAGCTGGAACTAGAGACGGGAGCTCACCCTGTCTTGCGGCACACTCGGGTCTCGAACTGCTGAACTACCGACCCTTCCACAGCCTGCAGTTGAGCGTCTTAACCACTTGAGCCACTGCAACTTAATGGGGTACAACATAATAAAACCAACAGAACAAAGTATGAGTCCAGTGGCACCTTTAAGACCAACAAAGTTCAATTCTGGGTATAAGATTCCGTGTGCAAGCCCAGAATTACACATTGTTGGTCTTAAAGGTGCCACTGGATTCAGACTTTGTTCTGTTGCTTCAGACCAACACGGCGACCCCACCTGAACCTCTAATAAAATCAAATCCGGTATGAAAAAATTAAAGCGCTTCAACTACTTAATGAACAAGATGGGTAGCCGTGTTTGTCTGTAGCAGGAGAAACTCTTGCTCTGTTCTACTAATTAATGAACAGACAGAAACAGTCATAAAAACAGCAGACAACATCAAAAAGAGCACTGAGAAAACCCCAGAACAGATTAGGACAGCAACAGAGCAGGCGAAGGAACTATAAAATAAAGCTATTGAAAAGCCTCTGGAACTGCACAAAAAAATCTTAACCTTGAAGAAAAAGAGGAGGAAGAGGAGGAGGAGAAGAGGA